GAGACATCTGAGGTTCTTCATTGGACACGACAACAACAGAAAATTGAAATGGACCCAGAGCAGCAGCTTCACACACCCAAGATAGTGGACATCACTGCTGATGTGATAGAGATGTATGGAGACATCTGAGGTTATTCATTGGACACGACAACAACAGCAACCCTATTATGATACTTTTGCTAAACCATTAAGTTTGGAAGAATACAGAGGGCCACTGAAACAGATTTAAAGAGAAGGATGTTCGTTCCTATGACATGCTTATCAAAATATACCAAGTAAACAACACGCTGCCTTGATATATCAATTTATACAGGCCGAAATACCCGGTAATATTCGAATAGCAACTGAACGAAGCATTCAAAATGGCAATTTCTGTGGTTCATTTGGACGAGGAAAGCGAAGACTAGAACGCGACTGATTCCACACTCGCCTTTTCAGTGATTCGCTAACCATGACGTATGCACGAAGGAACGTGTGGCCATTGGATATGCGTCGGACCTGGAAGGCTATTGTTGGGTTCTATGCTGCCTGGAATATAGGAGCTCCATCTATGCTTCCTTTCTTTCTGTGGTGAAACTGTATAAGACCGGTGGTATCAATAAAGCTTTGTTTGTGTTATATACGAGGGTGAGTAGAAAAGTAAGTTCACCTATTTTTTTTCATAGAAAAACACATTTAATCACAACTTTTTATACATCATTGGAAAGGTTGGACACTTTGCTATTTTTCTACATAGTCGCCTTGATGCTCAATCACTTTTTTCATCCTGTCAACCAACTTTGTAATTCCGGTGTTGTACCACTCTCCCGCCGCCTCTTTGAGCCACTTGTGGACCCACCTGGCGGACACCTTTCTGTAGCCGAGGGTCTCAGACACAATCTTGTGCACGGAGAAGTGGCTGAAATCTTCATTCAGGCCATCCTCGATCTCTTTAAAATATTATTTTGTAAAATTTAGGCTGAAGATGTTCAATCAGAATTTAGCCAGGCATTATTTATCATATACTCGGGTTTCAAGAATAACAATATTTTTCTGTTAATAAATTTTATCTATAAATTAACAAATAATAATAATTATTCTCGATTCAAATATTTATAAAAATTCAGATATTATTGATTATTTGACAATGCGATTATATATATTTATATCAGTCTGTCCCAAGCGGACAAAATTCAACAGCCTTACACACGATCGTGGTTGTCTTTTTTTTTTATCAATAAACGGGTTGATATTATGGAGCAAGCCTAAATCAACGTTTAGTTGATTTTTGTTTCACTAGATGGCGCTCTGCCATTTAAAATGATCATACAAGCTATCAGTATATGCTTCTTGACTTTAATATATTCATATTTGGTATATATTTTTGATAATGATTTTATCAATTTGCTGATTTTATATTTTCCTATATTATTATATTATTTCCCATTGAGATCATTCACTGATCTAAAATATGGGTATTTTTGCGAATTGTTCTGCAGAAGCTTCAAAGAGAACCATTTTTCTAGATCATTTTGAAAGTAATATAGACACTTTGTATATAAAAAGAGTTTTAAGAAAGAAAATAAAATGCTTGCTTTCTTATTTAGATAATAAAAAAGGTACCAGGCAAAAAAGAACTGATTTATATAGCTGTAAGCAGCGCCATCTGGAGGCCAACTTCGTAGAATTGTTCTAGAAAATATCTTTATAATTATATAAAACATATATATATAGTATTGTTTCAAATGGTACTGTCGACGTATGGATGAACTGGCAGTCGTGTACGTGAGGCGAGTGTTGATGTTCTTCCCACACGCGGACAACAAGAAGCAGAGGCAGGGCTAGATGTTAGCACCGAGAGTGATCCGGGACAGCCCACGGGACAGATGTAGAGAACATGATACAAACTTGGATGCTTATCACCGAGACATGGAGAGAGATACCGAGAGAAACAGAAGCGGTCTGTCGATGGACACACTGTAGAACATACTGCCGCTGACCCCCTGATAAAACCTGTCCTGTTTACAGGGGTCGTCTATAAAAAGCCCTGGAGGGGGGCCCCATCTGGGCGTTGGCATTTTCCTCTCTCTCTGCCCCCAGCTGCCACCATCTGACCGCTCTGGCGTTTTATTTTGACGTCACCAATTTTAGTTTAAATACAAATAGGGCGTACAGGATATATTAATAAAGATATAGCATATATACAAAATATGGGGGTGGTAGTAAATAGGAACAGTGTACATTTCAATAGAAGGGTACGATCTTATAAAGTATCGGCTCTAACTAATTGGATGATATGTGAAATATACTAAAAGTGTCATTTTTATACAGGTTAAAATATACGATATATATATATATATTATATAATCTAAAATACAATTATTTTATTTTTAAAAACATATTTTATTTTCATTCATTGACTGTTATATATATTTGACCATAGATGCAAAACATACCACTTTTAATTATTATTGTTGTAAATAATGTATATTTAACCCTATCTATCTTTTATTCACGATTATAGAATTCATTTTATAAATTCTATATTCCTGTGATAAATAATTTTATGTATATTTTTACTTCAAGTAATTCAAAATAAAATCTACTTGAAAGGTAAATAATTATCTTTACTTTTTACGACTGCACCTCTTTTCAACAATCAAACACACAAAAAAATTCTAATCGTAATATATATATATTAAAAATAAAGAAGGCATCTCCTGACCACGAGCACATGTGCTTTACAGAAGGCAGAGCGCCATCTGGTGGAACAGAAATCAACTAAACATTGATTTAGCCTGTTCCCTGATATTTGGCCAACCCAATTTCTTGATAAATCAAGAAAAGCCATCCACGAACGCGGTTCGCGCTTTTGGCGCTCGTCAGCGTGGAGTAGGCTGAACCACTGCGACCAAAAAACCTGACCCACTTATCTTTTATTTTTTTCTATTGTTTTTTCATATATATATATATTATAAAAAATAATTATGATGAGGATAATAGGAAAATTTTAACATGAATCATGAAAATTTCTCTTATAGAATTGTAAATAGTTATAAAACGAAGAGAAAATTTTTTTTATTAAAATGCATGGGCTACAAGCTTTCGGGCTTCACGCCCTTCGACGGGTACGTGAAGGGCGTGAAGCCCGAAAGCTTGTAGCCCATGCATTTTAATAAAAAAATTTTCTCTTCGTTTTATAACTATTTACAATAGGAAAATTTATATTATTCACTGGTCCGCAAATTAAAGGAACAACATATTTTTTTCATTTATCTCAAATTTTATTGAACATTTATCAATGAAATTTTATACACAAATTTATTATTCCATTATTGATTAGAATACCCGAAATCAAAGAATACTAACACGTATTTTATGCAAATTAGCCGGTCAAGCAATGATCTTCTTGCAGTCAGTGCATAAATATCTTGGAAATTGTTGTTAATATGGGGTGTGATCGCCTTTAACTGATAGACAGGCTCTACATCGGTGACCCATACTAAGGATTAGGGAGTTTATCAGCTCCTGTAGAATCAACGCATACTCTTGTGTTAAGGCTGTTTCTAGCTCATGAGTGTTTCTAGGATGGGGGTTGGAGGGATGAGATCCGCCGTCCTAGGTTGTCCCATACATGCTCAATGGGATTTAGGTCTGAGAATCGAGCTGGCCAATTCATCTGAGCAATTGCATGGTTTTGGAGAAAAGTGTCGACCACACCAGCCCTATGTGGACGGGCATTATCATCCATTAGAAGAAAGTTTTCTCCCATTTACAATACGCGAGGCATCACATATGTTGCCAAGATCTCGTCCCGATACCTCTGTCCAGTCAGGGTTCCTTGCCGGAAAATATGGAGTGCTGTGCGACCGCCCAAGAAGATTCCAGCTCAGACCATAAAACCTTGGCTTCAGTAGGGATCCCTTTCAACCATATTCCGGGGATTATTTTTGGTTCCTACCTCTCCAGACAAAGACACGACGAGAATCGCTGTTTAGAGAGAATCTGGACTCATCAGTGAACATTACACGCCTCCATTCATCTGGATTCTAGGCGACATGTTGTCTGCACCAAGGTTTCTTCGCTCTCTTTTGAGGTGGTGTCAATGGCACACAAATTATGGGTCGTCGAGCATAGAGGCCCTTCTTGTGAAGCCTTCTGCGTATTGTATCAGTTGATACTAAGACTCCTGTAACTGCATTGAGGTCACTTCGTAGTTGCGATGCTGTCATTCTTCTATTGCGACGCACAAGGAGACTCAAATAACGGTCTTGATTTAACGTTGTCACCCTTGGCCGTCCTTGTCCGGGTGTTCTGGCAACATTAGCTGTCGTTTTAATTTTTTTCCAAAGCCTTGAGACAACGTTTCTTGTCACTCCAAGCCATCTTTCTACTTCTGCCTGTGATTGGCCTGCTTCCATCCTTCCAATAGCTTGCCATTATTTTTCTTGTGATATATGTTGCCTATAAGCCATGAAAACTTTCAAAACAAAAAGGTTCAAAAAAAAAATCTAGTGGAGCGTAAAATTAGGACGTTTTGAGAAAGACTCAGGCACGTGCTGGAGGCGGAGTCAACGTAAAGGTGGTATTTTGCATATTGGGAACAACTTTATTTGTTTTTCTGTTTTACATACTTTCTTAATTTATGGAAGCTTTTGAATATACCAAAACTTGATATATATCCCTTAATATAACTTTTATTTTTCTTAAACATGTGTTGTTCCTTTAATTTTGCGGACCAGTGTATTTAAGAATGAGATTTCTTTTGATTTTTTATCATCTTGAGGATTATGTTATGGTAATGCAGTCGTGGGAATAATAAAAGAGTTTTGATCATTGATTTCTTTAATTGAACTTAAGAAATATATAAAATACATAATTTGGTAAAAGTACTGCCTGGCTTAAGACGTAAGAATAAAATAAATAAATTTATTTACACAATGTACAAAAGATTTGAGCCGGCCAACGGGATAGAGAAATTATCTTTATTTTCGGGGCTGCTAACCAAAATAAAAATAAAGTGTCCAGGGATGGGAATCGAACCCACAGTGTTCCGTTCACCGGGCAGATGCCATGTCCACTAGGCTACTCTGGACAGAGCCAACGGGATAAAACAACAATGAGTTTTTATATGCAAAGCGTGACCTCTTGCGGTCGATTTAACAGAATATTTGAATATATGATATATAATTTTAAATAAATATAATATTTTATATAACATATATATATACAATTAAATATTCTATTCATATTATTATTAGATTATTCAACTTTATTCAACTGTAAATACAAAGCGCGATGTCCCGCCAAGGACACTGGCGTCCAAAAGAAAGCAATACAAGAGAGAGAGAGAGAGGGAGAATCTATTTACATATCAAAAAAAAAAAAACATATGCTCAAGGCATTTACATATTTTTGAAATTGATTTCAAACAGGCATACTATATACATAGGTAATTTAATTTAAAACTACTACATTCATTTACAGTGTTGGTAATCCAGTGATGTTTTGGAAAATAATGGAACTGTTACAGAACGATATAGACGGTATTATTGTCTATTGAATCAATGTAATTCCCACAGAGCAAGGGTTTAAAGGTATGAGGTAAAACAAAGACAAAAAATAAATGTTTTGCCAATTCTGGAATAATTAAAAATCAAAAAATTAAGATATTTATTCCGATATATATATAGATGGCGCAATCCATCAACAACCTTTAGTTGCACGATCAGGAGATGCCTTAAATTATTCCCCTGATATCAGTAGAATTTCACTTTTGTGCTATTCTATTTACATATAGATATATTTTTGTTTCGAAAATAGAGCTATAGATAGCTATATATATATATATATATATATATATATATATATATATATATATATATATATATATATATATATATATATATATATATATATATATATAAACACACGGAATTTACACACGGTGACACTAGTGAACACAGACAGAAGAGAAACACAGAAGTGATACACAGTGTCACTAGTGAACACAGACAGAAGAGAAACACAGAAGTGACACACGGTGACACTAGTGAACACAGACAGAAGAGAAACACAGAAGTGACACACGGTGACACTAGTGAACACAGACAGAAGAGAAACACAGAAGTGACACACGGTGACACTAGTGAACACAGACAGAAGAGAAACACAGAAGTGATACACAGTGTCACTAGTGAACACAGACAGAAGAGAAACACAGAAGTGACACACGGTGACACTAGTGAACACAGACAGAAGAGAAACACAGAAGTGACACACGGTGACACTAGTGAACACAGACAGAAGAGAAACACAGAAGTGACACACGGTGACACTAGTGAACACAGACAGAAGAGAAACACAGAAATGATACACAGTGTCACTAGTGAACACAGACAGAAGAGAAACACAGAAGTGACTCAGAAAACCACACTATCACTTCTGTGTGTTTCCGAAAATGAAGACAAGAATTGATGAACAAAACATATTTGAACTTAATCTAGGATTATCTAATATCCGAAGTTTGAATGTGGTAATGTGTTCTATCATATTTAAATCCCTTGTGATGCTTTCAATTGTATTTGATCGCTTACACACAATACTGTTGATACATGCCAAGCTATGTACCAGTAAATGTGAAATTTCAGCTTGCCAGTAGATTAACACTTGATGTCGTTTACAACTTGGTTTCTAGAAAACCAAATTTTCCATCTACAATATTCCACTGATCACATAGGAAATCCTTATCCCCCCTCTTGTCCATCACCTGAGAACGGTTGATCCTGTCCTTATCTGGAGGAGGACTTTCTCAAGGTGGAGGAAACTCCCTTCCTTAAAACATTTTAAAAATATATTTCCACATGGAAAATTAGGGAAGACCAACTGCGGGATGAGATAACAAATCATTTCTGGCAAGAACAAACTAAGAATGATAAACAAAAGATAAGAAAAGAGGGAAGTTTACAGAGTAGCAAAATATAAACATCAAAAATGATACTCTGTTAATAAAATAATACATACTTTGCTACAATAATTTTATGATCAAATTGTAAATAATCACATTTATCTTTGTTTAATTTATCTTTGAATTTTGTAACAATCAATTAAAAGTGTAAATAAAATATATTCAATTGTTAATTGTCTTGTATGTCACCCCCTCTCCCAGACAATTAAATAAATAATTATAATTTTATAGATTCCACCTAAATTTAATTCTATTCATTCATATCTTAAACAATAGGTATCACTCTAAATTGTAAAACACACTGAATATTTTATGAAAAGGCATCTCCGTATCGTGCAACTGAAAGTTGCTGATGGCTTGCACCATCTATCGGAATAAATATCAACTATTCTCATTGATTTTTAATCATTTTAATTATTTAAAATTATTTTTCCAGATTTGGCCAAATAACCATTACCCATTAATCAAGAATGGGTATTTGGCCAAATCTTTAAAAATTAAAAATCAACGAGAATAGGTGATATTTATTCCGATAGATGGCGAAAGCCATCACCAACTTTCAATTGCACGATAAGGAGTTGCCGTTTCATAATTAATACACCTTATCCCAGTACAATATCAAATTTGTACTGTTTTCACACTGAATATTATTTAATCTTTTAGTTTTTCCATTTCGAGTCTTCAAAGATAAACTTAGAAGGTATTGAGAGAATCAAATTGATGATTTCATAAATCGTTCTACAAGTGACTTAGAACGTTGAGTAACATATAAATGGTATCAGATAAGGATTATATATCAAACAATGCAGCTGACAGTGCGGCTGAAGTCTGGTAATTGAGTTAAGACAAAAGAAATATTGTCAACTGTCCGGAGACAAGAGTTGTCCTTTGTCACAAGAACAATCTATACTGAACCTAATGGATACTTCCTCGCTCTGTCTGTGATAGATTGACCAAACTTATATCTTCCCGTGATATCACGAAACTGAATATACTTACGGATTGATTCCTTTTTAAAAATTGTATTTCTCCCTTTTCTTTCATTTATTAATATATAATTTGAATTTTATATATTAAAAATTAATGAACATACTAATGTGTTAATAAATAATTCAGGGCTTAGAAACTTGAAACATAAAAATACAACAGGTTTCTGGGGTTACATTCATTTTTATGTTTATTAATGTATAATATAAAAAAGCCTTTATTGAGGATTTCTCGTCCTATAAAGGATTCGCCAGTTTACAGCGTAATTAAAGAGAAGAGAACTAAGAATACAGAGATATATGTAGTAGGTATAGTGTAGTATTTTCTACACTGTGACTGTATACAACAGCAGCAACAAGACTTTTACTGGAATCAAAGTCCCTTACAGGATTCGTCATTCTAATCCTGATATAGATTATTTACATATAATTATTTATTTACATCAATTAGATTATGTATATAGCCTCCTCTTCTCTTCAGCTATCTTCCAAAATTTGAACAACGCAAAAGCTCCAGCTCTGTTTCTCACCACCTCATTCAACAGGAGCTCCAAAGAGAGTCCCTCAAGGCCTATTTCAATGAGGAGCTATTAATGTATAATATGAATATATATATCAAAATATTTTTCTCCCCATTGAATATAACAAAATATTTTTAAAACTTATTTCTGTTGACGTTATGTGGCGCTGAGTTTGTTGTTGACACACATTAAATATGTTATGATACCTTGATAAAGGTTGGTGTTCAGCCAACTGAAATATTGATAAAATAAATGATATTTTGATCCAATATATGACTTTTTAATTAAAGATTTATTAATGCAATCTACGAAAATAAACTCATCTCCAGAAATCTGTTGTATTATTTAATTCTTATCCAGGAGATTCAAATCAGTTTTTTTGAAACTTAAAGGACAAGAAACTTACCCCTAGAGGATTTATTGATTTTATTGAATTATAAGTCAGGGGGAAACGTTAAGCTAATGTGTGTACATACTGTTTATATTTCTTATGGATAACTTTGACGTAATATCTAGAAACCTTAAAAATGAACAATAATTTGGTTTAAAACAGTTGTTTGTAAATAGAAATCTGTTATTTTATATACAATGTTTTCCACAATAGGCAAGTTATGAAAAATTATTCTTATATTCTGATAAAAAAGGTATTTTATATATATTACATTTGTGCGCTATTACAAATGATTTAACGAATAGAGATCACAATCAAGGTGAAAAAAATCCTTCCATATTTCCATATAGTATGTCACACACCTTCATCGATTGATGTTTTCAAAACAATGTTATTTAACGACTCTTCAATCAAAATTTATTTCTACGCGCGATACACAAATTTATATATATATTTTAAACTGACGCTTTAATTACGCCGTAAAGCGCGAAATTCTTAGTTTATATATTTAAAAAAGTTGTAGTTCTTAAAATTTAAGATGCTCGGCCAGTAAATCTTTTTATCACCTTGACCTTTTGACAAAAATCTTCGGTCCAATTTGCAAAGGCGTTCTCACGCGATATTTCAAATTTTGTGATATAATTTTGAAATATCGCGTGAGAACGCCCTTGCAGCCTTAGAATAATTTTAAACGCCTTGCCAAATGTTTTAATTTTGTTCGCTCCTGACGAGGACAAAAGGTTTTTGTCGAAACGTCAAGATAATAAAAAGATTTACTGGTCGAAGTATCTTTAATTTGAAGAACAAGGAGAATGCCGGCCAGGCAGGTTCTATCTTAACGAGAAAAAAGATGGAGTTATTTAAACCAACAACTCGCACTTATGGACCTTCTCTACAGCACTTATTTTTTAAATCAATTTATTAATCAACCAGGCGCGATATTGAAATATTTGTAAATAAAACAGAGAAAACAATAAACAAATTAGAACTTAGAATCAAATATTTACAAATTTACATGTATTATTCTACAGGGTTCATAAAATGTATATAGACAAAGTGGCTGAGGTGAAAAAGTTAGATCACTACAACACACGTACACAGTAGCTTATTATATATTGACTAATCTGTACTTTCCCTATATGGGTTATGATTTGTTATGAAAATAGAGCAATCCATAAATATATCTTTAATTAAAAAGGCATATATTGGATAAAAAATCATTTATTTTACC